CCTGTGACCCAGAATTGGCCTATAACAGGCTACTACCTGCTATCAGCTGACACCACAGAGCTGCTCTGGGCTCTGGAAGGACCCTGAACATATTGTGAAGACACACCCAAGATGCCTCATTGACAACTGGCTCTGGCTCTCAGTGCAGGGCTGAAAGCAGAAGCCAGCTGTGCCCACCCTCTCTCCAACCCAGTGCTCCAGTGACTTACAGTCGCAGCTCTCCGGTCTGACTAGACTGAGAACTGAGTGATCAGTGGTCACATGATCACTCAGTTCTTGGGCCTAGAGCAGATGTGGGACAGCTGCAGCATCACATTAATGCTGCAGCATAGCGGTAAGTATAAAGGTTTTTTTTTTTTTCTGCACCTCAAATGTCTCTTTTTTTAAATGTTTTAAATATCTTTAGGTTCTGCCAGTAGAACCATTGGTTAGGCACTCTGCTGGGGTGACAGGTTTTTTTTTCCTGTAAAATACTACAGTGTTGTCACCATGGCAGCTCCTGTACCTGCTTAGAGGTCGGCAACATTGATAAGCCCCTACTTGTAAATAGTTAGTCTAGCTCTGCCTACAGCCCTTTAGATTGATGGCTGATTACTCTTGTCTGCAGGAGCTTGGTAAAATGATGCAAAAGTCATGTATTTTTTTACAAATTACGACCTCTTATCAAAAATCAGTTGTGCTGAAAAGTGAAGAAGCTGCTGTGAATAACTTCATTTTTGTATTATTTATATAGCACTTTCCTCCCTGGGGGCTTATCTGGTGATGGGGCAGGTAGTAAGGCAGCCATCTTAGCAACGCTTACTATAATATCATACTAGGAACAATTTATCAATCATGTGTCTTTGGATTGTGGGGGGGGGAAGTGAACACATGCAAACCCCATGCAGATAACAACCTGCCTTGGACCTAAACTAAGAACCCCAATGCAGCAAGACAGAAGTGCTAGTGACTGTGCTACCCTTTAATCATCCCCATCAATACCTCCTTTTACAACGGGTCTGTTTTAGCATTGTCTGATTTCAGATAAGTAACCCAAATGTCACATAGCCCTTTCTTCTCCCTATAGGTTAATGAGCTGCAGGATGTAAATCACTCTACAAACAGTCCTCACCGCGTGCGCACGCACACACACACACACACACAATTTCTGCTCAACCCGAGTGTAGTTTATGGTTAACATTTTTCATTTGTTGTTTGCGATTCTCCCACACACTTGCTTTACCTGAATAAAAATGTCAACTCCCCCTATAAAAAAAAACAAATTTGACAAATTTTTCTTGGTTTTCAGTGTGATTAGAGAAAAGGGTTGCAATCATGATCTGCTTGAAAATGCCACCACAAATGTGTTTATGGAATGATTGGAAGAAATAAAAATCAATCAAGTGAATTGACTCTCTCCTGGAGAACCTCCTTCAACTATGAGGCATGGTGATAGAAAACAGTGATAATTGGCCCCAGGACAATGGCAAAGTGGTCACAACAAAAGTCAAACACAAATCACGAAGACATTGTAAGGTACAAGTAAGGCTAGAAAATATCCCTCTGCACTGTAGAAGTAATGGAAAAAAAAAATATACATTGGACATGGTCTAGCTAGTAGTAGAAGTCACATTCAACTGGACTTGTGTAATGTTGAACATTCTAGCTATAGCATGACCTTGAGAACCTTCACAGACATTGGACATGGCCACAAGAAGCAGCAAGAAAAAAGAGACACCGCCGTTTTTATAAAAAAGGGAGATCCAATGTAGTTTTTTAAGCATATTAATGAGGAAACTGCAGGAATGACAGATAATATGCTACAGTGTGCTTATAAATGCAAACATATCTATCCATTGCAGGTTCCCACAGTCAATGGCTTCGGAGCTGCATACAACTCTTTGTGACCTTTCATGTAGCTTGCAACAGCCTCAAAGCAGACCCTGAACACCTTTTATACCAGCATTTCTCAACCTTTGTATCTTAGAACAACCCTTTAAATAATTTGCAGGCCTTGGGGACCCCATGCTAAAACCAATTCATTAAAGGTCACTGGGAAAAAAGTCTCTTACATTGGTCATTTTGAAGAATGACCCCATTACAGTGGTATCCAGAATGCCACCCTTACAGTAAGCTAAGAATGACACCCATACCGATCAAACGATTATTGGTCATAACATTCACTTTGCCAAGTGATGCTGGCCCTGGAACTAGGCTGACACCATCAAATGGGAGGTCAATCAGCCACAGCTCAAGGAACCCCTAGCAACCTGTGTGGGAACCCTAGGGTTCTCCGGAACCTTGGTTGCGAATAGCTGTTGTATACCATATGCATCCCAAAGACAGAATGTACCGTACACAAACCATTTAACATTATAGAATAGGTTGGGCAGGAAAAAAAATAAAACATGGACAGTGATGAGGATTTTACTCAATAGTGCCTGTTTTAGGGCTTGCGTAGATGGGCATTTATTTTCTTCCTTTAATGGTGCAGTATGGCTATGTCTGACCTGCTTTACATTTCTTTGGACAAAGAAGGTCCTTTTCAGATGAGTTTGCATTGAGGGAAAAGCAGATCAAATGCAGCTTGTTAAGTTTTGTGTTCAAACCCATGCATGCATTGAAACAGTTCAAAGAGAGAAGGCAGGGTACATCAACACTTACCTACACGGGCCCTTTTGCTGTTCATGCACTGCTGTACTCACAGATCAACCCCTGGGCCACCAGCAGTGATTTACTGTAATCAGGGGCGGACTGACCATTTGGAAACTCAGGCACTGCCCGAGGGCCCAAGGTCAGTAGGGGGCCCCATGAGATGCCCCATGGTACCTTTTTCATAGGCTTTTTTGAGTTTGGGCAAGGACACAGGGGCCCTATGATCCCCTATTGCCCGGGGGCCCCATGAGTTGTCAGTCCGCCCCTGACTGTGATACAATCTCAGGGGAAAAAAAAAAGGGGGAAGCTAAAGGTAGACATTGGGCTCATTCCACTAGGACAGACTTTCTCGACTTTTTTAACACAAAGGAACGCTTAAAACGACTTTCAGATAGTAAGTTGGTATGTAGAACCAAATAAAAGAATATGGATGTGGCATACCTAACGTATCTGACACTCAAGGCTGCTCTATAAGACAAAATTGTCTTCAGTAATAATAATGAAACAAAATAAATTATGATAATCCCAAGGAAAAATGCAGACAGTCAATTGTAGTGCCCCTCAAATTGGTAGTCAATAGAGAAGGACTTCCTTACGTTAGTTGTCATTGAGAAGAATATCTGTTACATTGGTGGTCATCGGGGAAAAAAGTCTCCTACATTGGTGGTCATCTCGAAGAAAGTCTCCTACATTGGTGGTCAATGGGAAGAATGTTCCTTACATTGGTAGTCAGTAAAGAAGGATTGCCTTACACTGCTGTTCATTGATAGTCAGTGGTTAAGACCCCCATACATTGGTGGCCAGTAAGAAGAATGCTCCTTACATTCAGTGGGGTGCTCATTGGTGCTCAGTGGGAAGAATGCTCCTTACATTGGTGCTCAGTGGGAAGAATGCTCCTTACATTGGTGATCAGTGGGAAGAATGTTCCTTACATTGGTGGTCAGCGGGAAGAATGCTCCTTACAATGGTGGCCAGTAAGAAGAATGCTCCTTACAATGGTGCTCAGTGGGAAGAATGCTCCTTACATTGGTGCTCAGTGGGAAGAATGCTCCTTACATTGGTGCTCAGTGGGAAGAATGCCCCTTACATTGCTGCTCAGTGGGAAGAATGCTCCTTACATTGGTGCTCAGTGGGAAGAATGCCTCTTACATTGGTGATCAGTGGGAAGAATGCCTCTTACATTGGTGCTCAGTGGAAAGAATGCTCCTTACATTGGTGCTCAGTGGAAAGAATGCTCCTTACATTGGTGCTCAGTGGGAAAATGCCCCTTACATTGGTCGTCAGTGGGAGAAATGGCCCCTAAAAACAGCTAAAAAGATCAATGGTGACTAATCTGTGAGGCAGAAATTAATTGCCCAAGAAACCACAAACAACCTCTGGAGGACCCTAGAGTTCTAGGAACCCTGGAAAGGATACACTAAGCTATACCAATCATTATGTGCCATAAGAGGCGTTATTTTCAGCAATGAAAGCCAATGAGAGTTGCAAATAATAGTAAAATGGCTATGAATAACCATCATGGTTATAGAAAATAACCCATAAATTATAGATCTGTGAACTGAGGCTATTGCAGACTATGCAAGAGTCACAGGGAGGGTAGCAGAACATTCCAGCAATTACCATTAGAAGTTAGGTAGAAAATCCAGTTAAAATAACTTCATCATTTCTGCCAGGTCTCAGCCTTGGCTTTATACTCATAAAACTTTGTATGCAACCTGTCACAACCCTTTAAACAATTTTTTCTTTTTCTTAATCATGGTGGCCAGTAGTTATTTCTGAATGAGGTCTACAAGAAGAGGTTTGGGGTTTCTACTGAAGAGTATGTAACTTACACTACTAAGTAACCTGTTGCCTATTCCAAGTTAGGCTGCATTGGCAGTTCATGAAGCTAAAGGACAGATAGAAAAACAAGTTCTGTACTTCAAATTAAAACTTCAGGAATGCTGTGGCCAGTATCTGATCCAGGAACTGACCCACAAATACTGTTCGGTTCATAAGAAGTTTGTCTCTACCAAAACGGTTAAATGAACTGTGGGTCTGTTACCGTCCCCAACCCCCCTGCTGGGTAATAATCTGTTTCATATTTGTCATAGGCTTCATAAAATTAATCCTTCTACCAGGCAGCTGCCAATGCAAATAACAGAAATTAAATTTTGATTCGCCTTAAGGCAGCAACCGTGTCACGTGTTTCTGGATCCTAAATAGGTCTAATCCGAGGCTTGTGTGGAGAAGCAGTCCTCTGCACTTTGCAATCATTCTTCTGTTTAAGTCTAAGAATCAGTGTGATGGACCTCGTAATCTTGTGTTGACACCACCAGGCCCTTCTTCGTATGCTCGGAGAGACAGGAATGTTCCTCTTCCAGTAATCAATAAACCAAGTATTTCATTTCTGAGTAGATGAGAGGGAAGATGACAGAACAAGCTCGGTATAGGACGGCAGTACTTCTGAGAAAGGCGCGGGGTTTTGTTAACCAAGGCTCCGTCTTGAAGCAGAAGTAGACGGCGTAAAAGGCGACGGCAAAGAAATGTCCGATGAGCTTCGTGGGTTTGGGGGATAGTCTGTGGGAAGACAGAAGAGCCAGCATTATTATTAGTAGTCATAGCTGTAGAGTTCTATCAACAGTGCAAAGTGCTGTAACCTTCAGATTTCAATTTATAGATGGCTGAAAGATTCATTCTGATTGGTTACTGAACTATACACTTTGACCTTTCATATACAGTGTGTGCCATGAATCGTTCCTGGATAGAAGAGATGTAGCATTGTATTTAGATCACTTACACAGAGAGAAGACCTATGGGGCCGGCCACACATTCTCCTCCCAGCTTGAAGTAATTGAAGCACGCTCTTCTCAGCTGGTACAAAGAGTCTGCAAAGAGGTGGACACGTTAGAATTCTGTACAGTGTCCACATGGGTCATTTTTCCCCAAAATAGCTTGATCTTGGTATGGGCAACACAGTTTTTCATTTAGAATTGTTAGTAAAGATTATAATATGCAATTCTACAATTCAATGCGTGTAAAAGCACAAGTCCTCTACATTAGCCACAGCAATGTCAGCAGACAAAAAAGTTAGGCCTCTTGCACATGGACGTCATAATTTACTGATGTTTACTCAGGAAATAGTTGACAGACACAGTAAAAAAAAAAACTGTGTGTAATGACCAATGCTGCGTAACTGTGCGTAAAGATGAGTAAATGTGAGTAAGTGTATACATGAGTAAAATCCTCTTGTAGCTGATTGATCCCATTCCTTGCAGGTTGTTCCCTGCTCTTGAGAATGTTCAAAGAGAGATATATGTGTTATCTTCCTCTGCCTCCTTGGTGGTCAGTGTCAAGACCCACCCAACTGCTTGGTGGTCTGTGTAGGGATCCCCCGCCTCCTTGATGGTCAGTATCGGGACCTCCCCTGTCCCCGCCTCCTTGGTTGTCAGTGCCCGGAACCCCCCTCTGCCTTCTTGGTGGTCAGTGCCTGAGACTCCCCTACCTCATTGGTGGTCAGCAATTGAGTTCCCACCCAGCCTCCTTGATGATCAGTGTCCATGGTGGTCAGTGTCTGTGTGCCCCTACAAACCTCCTTGGTGGTCAATGTCTGCATGCTCCCCAAACCTCCTTGGTGGTCAATGTCTGTGTACCCCCCAAACCTCCTTTGGTGGTCAGTGTCTGCATGCTACCCCCCCAAACCTCCTCGGTGGTCAGTGTCTGCGTGCTACCCCACCCCAAACCTCGGTGGTCAGTGCCTGCATGCTCCCCAAACCTCCTTGGTGGTCAATGTCTGTGTACCCCCCAAACCTCCTTGGTGGTCAGTGTCTGCATGCCACCCCCCCCAAATCTCCTCGGTGGTCAATGCCTGCATGCTCCCCAAACCTCCTTTGTGGTCAATGTCTGTGTGCCCCCCAAACCTCCTTGGTGATCAGTGTCTGCATGCCACCCCCCCCCCAAACCTTCTTGGTGGTCAGTGTCTGCGTGCCACCCCAAACCTCCTTGGTGGTCAGTGTTCATGTCCCTGAGTGACATTGACAACAAGGGGGGAGCAAAGACACCTATGGGGGGCAACATACACTGATCACAGATTGGATGAAGGGGCACAAACACTGACTACAGCAGGAGGTTTAGTACATAGACAGTGATCACAGCGGAGGGGGGCACACACATTAAACACCAAGAGGGGGAGGCATTGCTGTTCTCTGCACATCCCACTCATCCCCTACAGCTCTCCCTGTCCTGCACCAACTGCATGTCCAAGCCAACTTGTGTTTTGCCCGCACTGTTACCCAGTGGTGTATTTAGGTTTTGTGCTGCCCTAGGCAAAACAAAAATCAGCGCCCCCCCCCCCCCCATCCTGCAGATAGAGCCTGACATTGACCAACAACACCTGTGTCCCCACCTGAGAGAGCCTTCCACTACCACTGCCCCCCATACACCAGCCACCATCCCCAATGCCGAGAAAGAGAAAGACACTCACTTTCACAGCTCCGGACATCCCTGGGAATAAGAGTTGGGCTGTGCATACACCATCATAAAACCCGCAGCCTCCCTCAGAACCCACAAGGTCCCCATGCCGTGTGTCCCTTCTTCCAAGGGGCAGTGCTGCCCCCCTAAAAAATGCCGCCCTAGGCAAATGCCTTGTTTGCCCTGTGGTAAATACACCCCTGCTGTTAACGTTCGCCATGGAGGATTACCTAGGTGGGTGGGATCCTATTCAGCCAGTGCTCCTATTTACGCCTATATGGCTGTACACTTGTGTGCAAGTACTAGAGTACACAGGTATGTATGCATAAAAGTTTCAATTGTTTTTTTTTTTTTAACGGACCTGTACTTTGCGCTGCTGAACTCATCTTTACACAGCAGTGTGCATGGTGTCATAGACAACAATGCATCTGATTCAGGGGTGGACTGACCATTTGGAAACTCGGGCACTGCCCAAGGGCCTGGGGTCAGTAGGGGGCCCCATGAGATGCCCCTGGTACCTTTTTCATAGGCTTTTTTCAGTTTGGGCAAGGACACAGGGGCCCCATGATCCCCTATTGCCCGGGGGCCCCATGAGTTGTCAGTCCGCCCCTGATCTGATTACAGGTCCATAAAAACAGTGGCGCTTTTTACTCCAATATGCATGAAGCCGTAAATTAAACTTGTCACGGAATATGATAAAAATTGCATTAGTAGAGGTTACCTTTACATAAAGAATTTCAAAATGATCAGCAAATCCACAAAAACAAACAAATTAATCTGTATGCAAATACTGACTTTTGCTGAAAAAAAAATGTAAAGTTGGCTCTGCCTCCTCCCAGTCCTGAATGTGATAGACAGCCTTACTGACCAATGAGGAGGCTAAAAACCATTAATGGATGGGTCAAGCTGACCTTTTTTTTTAGGAAAAGTCCAGACATCTGCATAAAGCCAGTCTCCTGTGTCTCTGGGCATGAGGTTTCCACCAAAGATAACCTCTGCCTATTTATTTTTTCCTCATATACTCAGTCTAAACTGCAATTGTTTTTTGCATTAGCGTGTACGTTTTGTTTCACAATTTTTTTGTCAAAAAAACTTTGGAGTTTGCAGTGTTTTTAGCGTTTTGCCATGTTTTTCAGCTAATAAAAAACCACTTCCTGTCCGGACACTTTTTTCCTGTCCAAAGCTTTCAGCGCTATCACACTTTGAATGACAATTGCGCGGTCATGCAATACTGTACCCATATGAATTTTTTACCATTTTTTTGAGACAGATAAAGCTTTATTTTGGTGGTATTCACCGCTGGGATTTTTATTTTTTTTACTATGTAAATGAAAAAGTCCAAAAATTTTGAAAAAAAGTGTTTTTTTTAATAAAATTTTGCAAATAAATAATATTTCATCCTAAATCTTGGCCAAAAATTCCGTTATTTTTTTTAGTAAAAAAAAAAAAAAAATCAAAAAGTTTATAACCAAACATTATAATTTTTAAACATTTTTTTTTTTTTACATTTTTATTTTATTTTTTTTTATATTATTTTTTTTTTTATTTTTTATTTTTACATACTGCAGTACAGTGTCACCATGGTGACACTGTACTACTTTGGGGGGTGATGAAGATTTTTTTTTTTTTTTTTTTTACACATTGCTTTTACACCCATATAGGATGTAAAAGCAATCAATTTCTCTTTCTCTCTGTCTGCATTCTTGCAGTCATTGAGAAATACTGAGTGAGCTGTGATTGGTCACAGCTTGTCACATGGTACAAGGCTGTTGTGAATAGCCTTGTACCATGTGACCTCTGTGATCATTCACAGATTTCACACGTAGTAAGCAATGATGTCACAAGTGACATCTTGTTTACTACTTTGCATGTGATCACTGATTGGCCAATCAGTGATCACATGACCGGGACCTCGTACAGAGGTCCCGTCTGACGATCGGTGTTTCACTGTGTCCGGGGGACACAGCGGACACCGGATCGTTAGGGAGCGCGCACAGCTAGAAAAGGCGGGTGCCGTTTAGGAACGGCAACCCGAAACTGCCAACCTGCCGTTTATAAACAGCAGGCGGACGGCAAGAGGTTAAAAACACTAGTCTTGCTGTTTTTCTTCAGTTACAAAACATAGCTGTCAAAAAGCATTGATTCCAGTCTATGTGTGCATGGACACATAGGATAACATGCTGGGGGGGTTTACTGGCTGTAGGAAAAAAAACCGTCAAAATCCAAAAACAGCCGCTGTAAAAAACGTCCCGTGTGCATGACTAATAAAGAGGCCGGTGCTGTATTTTATTTATTATATATATATATATATATATATATACAAATAAACATTTTCTATTTCCATAACCAGTTGTTTCCTTCATGTAGTCTTAATAAGCAGCCCTGCAAAAGGAGGGGTAGGGAGAGAGGATCGCTGCTCTGACTGTTTCATTTTAGTTTGAGCTACTGAACTCTGTAACAACAGGCTTTTTGCAACAGAGAAGCTAATGAGAGCATGGAAAAGGTAAAGGGGAACAGTGCTCCACCTGCTGGCTGCATATTGTATGTACATACCAAATCATCATTATCTTATGCAATATTTTATGTTTGGCAAAAAAAAAAAGTTTTTAATCCTAAAAAACATAAATGAAATCTATAAAAAAAAAACACTATGGGAGTTACTTAGTAAAGCTGGAGAGTGCAAAATCTGATGCAGCTCTGCACTGAAAGCAATCGGTTTGCAGGTTTTATTACCAAAGCTTCAGGCCCCTTTCACACGGGCGTTCTGTTTTTTCTTGGAAAAACGTGACTGAACTGATGAAAAAAACAGATCAGTTCACATCAGCTTTTCATCAGTTTACGTCATTTTTTCATCAGTTTAGATCAGTTTTTCATCCGTTTACATCCCTTTGCATCCATTTACATCCGCTTTTCGTCTGTTTACATCCCTTTTCATCCATTTACATCCATTTTCTATCCGTTTGCATCGGTTTTTCATCAGTTTACATTCGTTTTTGTCCATTTACATCGGGTTTTTTTGTCTGTTCCGTTTTTTTTAATGGAATAAAAATATTTTTTTTTCTTCCGTTCAAAAAACGGTTGTTAACAGATGCGGACATTAATGGATGTAAACAGATGATCATCTGTTTACATCCGCTAGTCCATAGAAATACATGGGTGTCCATTTTTCATCCGTAAACGGACAGATGAAAAATGGAAATAAGGAACGCCCGTGTGACGGGGCCTAAGTGATCACGCTGAAGTTAGAAGTTGATTGGCTACCATGCACAGCTGAACCAGATTCTGAGTGCTCCAGTTTTCATAAATCTCCCCCTTCACATTCCTTTTAAGAATAATACAGCATTAATGAGAATCTACAGTAAGAAGAGAAGCAGCAATTTCTGAGGACAGATCTCACCTTTCCAGTGCCCAGATACTATAGGAAGCCAGTGAATGAATTAGCCCATTAGTATTCACCAATAATATAAGTATCAGTTGTGGGTGGTCTGTCCCCTTACAGACAAGTGACGGATAACTATATAAACCAGTTTATGAACATTATATAATAAATACTTAGTGGCCCTTTAAGGTTTAAAAAAAAAAATATTTGGTCTTTCAGACTCAATCTCCCACACTGGTAATCTGATTACATGTCATGCATTCCCCTCTCTCTGGCAAACAATACAGAGTTCTGTTACCAGGCAGGCAGTGTGATGTCACCGTCATGTTGTATATCAGATGACACTTTCCACTCACCATCTGTAGCAGCAAACAGCTCATACAAAGCCTGGGCCAAAACATTCACTACGAATGAGTGGGACTTCTTCCTGGACCAGTAAAACCTCTTCTTAGCCTGAAAGACATATAGGTCTGGATAATGTAATACTGCACAGCGCATTAGTCATTTATATGGTGCAAAGAAAAGTATGTGTGTATTCTGTAGCAACCAATAATCATTCAGTTTTTTTTTATTTTACAATAAAATGTTTTCACCTATTTATATATTTGCATACAAATATAGACGGTACTGTATTGAGAATCTTGGGGCTGCATCAACACAGTCTGATAATCTTTTTCAGTTTTCACACTGAGCTTCTAGATAATTTATTTTATAAAATAACTTTTATTGAATTTTACGTATGCAAACAACAACACATACAAAAACAGTAAAACAACAGAAAATAACTTCTAAAGAAGTCAGCGGCCTCACAGGGCCAACTAACATAAAACCTATACAAAACTGATAGAAAACTGACGCCCCCCCCCCAAACCAGGCTACCCCAACCAGCCAGGCATAGCTATACTGGATACCGGAACCTTCATGAGCCACAAGTAAAAGATGTCAACAATATACTCCCTGTACATGAGCTGGAGCTCTCTCCCCGTCACCCTTTTTCTCTTGGTGACAGGAAAACTGGTCAGAAGTGACTCATGTAGATAACAGAGGAACTAGACAGCAGAGAGGAATGACACTTAGTACTTTGGAGAGAAGGAAACGCCATAGTAACGTGTTTTGTTTTTCATGTCTTAGGTTTACAACCACTTTAAGGAAGACAGTCATATTTGCTGTTACACATCGGAGGCTCCTCTTTCTATTATGCAGTGTTGCTTAGTAAGTTCTTTTTTTATGGTGCATATTCAAAAACAGACTCTCTATGGGCATTATGTATCACCGGGGGAGATGTACTAAAACTGGTGCACTCAGAATCTGGTGTAGCTGTGCATGGGAGCCAATCAGCTTCTACCTTCAGCTTGTTCATTTAAGCTTTGGCAATAAAACCTGGAAGCTGATTGGTTTCAATGCAGAGCTGCACCAGATTTTGCACTCTCCAGTTTTAGTAAATAACCCCCCTATGTGTTCTTACTAAGAACTGGGGCTACTTCCCAATCATCAGTAAGCATCAGACCTACCCTGAATGTATAAATCTCATTGGTGGTTGAGGAACAATAACAGTTCTTAAAATATAGAACATACCTGTTCAAGGCAAAGCAACAGCACAACCTCACCTTTCATTCACTACTCAATACTCCGCTGTGCTGCTGACATCGGAGAAAATACCCCATACTTGCAGGTATGTAGGAGTATGTCACTTCCCTTCCTCTCAAGTGAGATCGCTGATGCTTTGTGATGTTACATGGGGGTTCGGAGGGATTTTTTAGCAACATGTAAGCTCCAACTAGGCAGACCCACAGCTTACACAGGGCTTCCTTCCCTCACTCCTAGTGACTGAGCAGAGTGGTAGAGGAGAGAAGGAGGGGTGAATATATGCTCCTGGAGAGGGGGGAATAAGATGAATTTGTTGCTTTGTCATGCACGGCTCACTGTATGTTCATTTGGTAAAGTAGCCATTGCTGTAAACCGTACTGCTTGGGCCCCAAGCAGGGGCGTATTTACCACAAGGCAAACAAGGCATTTGCCTAGGGTGGCATTTTTCTGGGGGGTTGCGCTGCCCCCCAGAAGAAGGAGCACATACCGCATGGGGACCAGGTGGGATCCAAGAGAGCCTGCGGGCTACTTGACTTGTTCCCATGGATGTCCGGAGCTGTGAAGGTGAGTGTCTGTGAATCTCTTTCCAGGGATGGGAGGCGGGTGGCGTCAGGTGTATGGGGGAGGCGGTGGTAGTGGAAGGCTCTCTTGGCCGGGAAATGGGGGGAGGAGGTGGTATTGGCTGGTGTCAAGCTCGCTCCTTTGGGGGGGTGGGTTGCTGGTTGGTGTTATGCTCTCTCCGAGGTTGGGGGGGTGGTGGTCAGTGTCAGGCTCTCTTTAATTTGGAGGGTTGTTGGTTGGTGTTATGCTGTCTCCACAGTGAGGGGGGGGGGGGGGGGGTTGTTGGTCGGTGTTATGCTCTCTCCGAGGTTGGGGGGGGGGGGGGTTGGTCGGTGTCAGGCACTTTAATTTGGAGGGTTGTTGGTCGGTGTTATGCTCTCTCCACAGTGAGGGGGGTGGGGTTGTTGGTCGGTGTTATGCTCTCTCCACAGTGAGGGGGTGGGTGGTTGTTGGTCGGTGTTATGCTCTCTCCACAGTGAGGGGGTGGGTGGTTGTTGGTCGGTGTTATGCTCTCTCCACAGTGAGGGGGTGGGGGGGTTGTTGGTCGGTGTTATGCTCTCTCCACAGTGAGGGGGTGGGGGGGTTGTTGGTCGGTGTTATGCTCTCTCCACAGTGAGGGGGTGGGGGGGTTGTTGGTCGGTGTTATGCTCTCTCCACAGTGAGGGGGGGGTGGTTGTTGGTCGGTGTTATGCTCTCTCCACAGTGAGAGGGTGGGGGGGTTGTTGGTCGGTGTTATGCTCTCTCCACAGTGAGAGGGGGGGTTGTTGGTCGGGTTATGGTTGTTGGTCGGTGTTATGGGGGGGTTGCTCTCTCCACAGTGAGGGGGTGGGGGGTTGTTGGTCCACGGTGTTATGCTCTCTCCACAGTGAGGGGGGTGGGGGGGGTTGTTGGTCGGTGTTATGCTCTCTCCACAGTGAGGGGGGGGGGGGGGTTGGTCGGTGTTATGCTCTCTCCACAGTGAGGGGGGGGGGGTTGTTGGTCGGTGTTATGCTCTCTCCACAGTGAGGGGGGTGGGGGGGTTGTTGGTCGGTGTTATGCTCTCTCCACAGTGAGGGGGTGGGGGGTTGTTGGTCGGTGTTATGCTCTCTCCACAGTGAGGGGGGGGGGGGTTGTTGGTCGGTGTTATGCTCTCTCCACAGTGAGGGGGGGGGGGTTGTTGGTCGGTGTTATGCTCTCTCCACAGTGAGAGGGTGGGGGGGTTGTTGGTCGGTGTTATGCTCTCTCCACAGTGAGGGGGGTGGGGGGGGTTGTTGGTCGGTGTTATGCTCTCTCCACAGTGAGGGGGTGGGTGGTTGTTGGTCGGTGTTATGCTCTCTCCACAGTGAGGGGTGGGGGGTTGTTGGTGGGGGTGTTATGCTCTCTCCACAGTGAGGGGGTGGGGGGTTGTTGGTCGGTGTTATGCTCTCTCCACAGTGTGGGGGGTGGGGGGGTTGTTGGTCGGTGTTATGCTCTCTCCACAGTGAGGGGGTGGGGGGGTTGTTGGTCGGTGTTATGCTCTCTCCACAGTGAGAGGGTGGGGGGGTTGTTGGTCGGTGTTATGCTCTCTCCACAGTGAGGGGGTGGGGGGGGTTGTTGGTCGGTGTTATGCTCTATCCACAGTGGGGGGGGGGGTTGTTGGTCGGTGTTATGCTCTCTCCACAGTGAGGGGTGGGGGGTTGTTGGTCGGTGTTATGCTCTCTCCACAGTGAGGGGGTGGGTGGTTGTTGGTCGGTGTTATGCTCTCTCCACAGTGAGGGGGTGGGGGGGTTGTTGTTGGTGCTATGCTCTTTCCACAGTGAGGAAGGGGGGGTTGTTGGGTTGGGGGTCAGGCTCTCTCCTTTGGTCTGGTGGTGTTATGCTCTCTCCACAGTTGGGGGGGGGGGGGTCAGTGTCAGGCTCTTTAATTTTGGGTTGTTGGTTGGTGTTATGCTCTCTCCACAGTGAGGGGGTGGGGGGGTTGTTGTCGGTGTTATGCTCTCTCCAGGTGGGGGGGGGGTGGGGGTCGGGCACTTTAATTGGGGGGGTTGTGGTCGGTGTTATGCTCTCTCCACAGTGAGGGGGTGGGGGTGGTTGTTGGTCGGTGTTATGCTCTCTCCACAGTGAGGGGGTGGGGGGGTTGTTGGTCGGTGTTATGCTCTCTCCACAGTGAGGGGGTGGGTGGTTGTTGGTCGGTGTTATGCTCTCTCCACAGTGAGGGGTGGGGGGGTTGTTGGTCGGTGTTATGCTCTCTCTCCACAGTGAGGGGGTGGGTGGTTGTTGGTCGGTGTTATGCTCTCTCCACAGTGAGGGGGTGGGGTGGTTGTTGGTCGGTGGTTATGCTCTCTCCACAGTGAGGGGGTGGGTGGTTGTTGGTCGGTGTTATGCTCTCTCCACAGTGGTGGGGGGGTTTTTGGTCGGTGTTATGCTCTCTCCACAGTGAGGGGGGGGGGGGTTGTTGGTCGGTGTTATGCTCTCTCCACAGTGAGGGGTGGGTCGGGTTGTTGGTCGGTGTTTATGCTCTCTCCACAGTGAGGGGGTGGGGGGGTTGTTGGTCGGTGTTATGCTCTCTCCACAGTGAGGGGGGGGGGGGTTGTTGTTGGTCGGTGTTATGCTCTCTCCACAGTGAGGGGGATGGCGTTGGGGGGGGGTTGTTGGTCGGTGTTATGCTCTCTCCACAGTGAGGGGGTGGGGGGGTTGTTGGTCGGTGTTATGCTCTCTCCACAGTGAGGGGGTGGGGGGGTTGGGGTTGGTCGGTGTTATGCTCTCTCCACAGTGATGAGGGGGGGTTGTTGGTCGGTGTTATGCTCTCTCCACAGTGAGAGGGTGGGGGGTTGTTGGTCGGTGTTATGCTCTCTCCACAGTGAGAGGGTGGGGGGGGTTGTTTGGTCGGTGTTATGCTCTCTCCACAGTGAGGGGGTGGGTGGTTGTTGGTCGGTGTTATGCTCTCTCCACAGTGAGGGGGTTGGTTGTTGGTCGGTGTTATGCTCTCTCCACAGTGAGAGGGTGGGGGGGTTGTTGGTCGGTGTTATGCTCTCTCCACAGTGAGGGGTGGGGGGGTTGTTGGTCGGTGTTATGCTCTCTCCACAGTGAGGGGGGGGGGGTTGTTGGTCGGTGTTATGCTCTCTCCACAGTGAGGGGGTAGGGGGGTTGTTGGTCGGTGTTATGCTCTCTCCACAGTGAGGGGGTGGGGGGGTTGTTGGTCGGTGTTATGCTCTCTCCACAGTGAGGGGGTGGGGGGGTTGTTGGTCGGTGTTATGCTCTCTCCACAGTGAGAGGGTGGGGGGGTTGTTGGTCGGTGTTATGCTCTCTCCACAGTGAGAGGGTGGGGGGTTGTTGGTCGGTGTTATGCTCTCTCCACAGTGAGGGGGTGGGGGGGTTGTTGGTCAGTGTTATGCTCTCTCCACAGTGAGGGGGGGGGGGGGTTGTTGGTCGGTGTTATGCTCTCTCCACAGTGAGAGGGTGGGGGGGTTGTTGGTCGGTGTTATGCTCTCTCCACAGTGAGGGGGTGGGTGGTTGTTGGTCGGTGTTATGCTCTCTCCACAGTGAGGGGGTGGGGGGGTTGTTGGTTGGTGCTATGCTCTTTCCACAGTGAGGAAGGGGGGGGTTGTTGGTTGGTGTCAGGCTCTCTCCGCAGGGAGGGTTGGAGTGACCAAATTTTGTGTTGCCTAGGGCATAATCCTAGATACACCATTGACCCTAGGGAGGAGGGGGCTCCCTATGCCACCACTGCACACATCTGGGATTCGATCTAGGAAATGCTCCTCCAGCTGGTGATTTTGTTCAGAAGATCTGGATTCCAGTGAGTACCTTACCTGCAGTATTTGTGAATGTTCATTCAGATCTGGAAGATCCTGTAAGAGATTCCTCCAAATTTTCACGTCATTCAGTACAACTGTCATTCCACCACCTGTTAGCGGGTGTCTCATGTTGTATGCATCCCCCAGTAGCAGAACCCCTGCACAAGCAACCAAGATAGAGAAAAGGTTTAATGTATTAGCTGCTCTATACAATAAGACATTTAGAGAAACATTTCAAAGTCAGGCTGATGGATAAACTAATGGCCCATACACACGATACGAAAATCGTACGAAAATTTCTGTCAAGGAACGGTCGATCATCTGATCGTTAGTATAGTGCTTTCAATAGATGATTTTGACTTTTTGGATGACAAAAAACGAGGGTGCAAGCTAGAAAACTTTTATCGTACGAGAACAAAACGTCTGATTTTCTGATATAACTGTACAGATATAATCAAAGAGAAAAAAAAAACGCACATGATCAGAAGCAAAGAACGACCCTACACTTCCTCTTCTACTACCCTAGTACATAGCTACTTTGCCTTTGTCAGCTGAGAATTTTCTTACAAGTCAATACCATTCCGACTACATCACGATATGCACTTTCATGGAAAAATCGGACGATCGGTCGTCGGATTTGCTCATCTTGTGTGCTAGGCTTAAAGTGTTACTAAACCCACAACAGTAAAATCAGTCTGTATATGCAGTAAAGCATGCTTGTTATACTCACTGAGGAACCTAAGGGGTTAATCCTCTGCATTGTGTAAAACGTCTGTTTGATCCTGTCATCTCTGACTCTCCCCTACTTTAGCTGTCCCATAGTTAGAGCAGCAGTGGCAAGTCTGCACATGCTCTGCTTGGTGTGTATTGCTAGAGAAGTTTTTTTTTTGTTTTGTTTTTGGGGAGGGTGTATGTGATCAGTGCTGTCCAGACAGAGTGTTATGCATTATGTAGCCTCAAAGGACAGTCGGAGGAGAATGAAAACTCTTTCTACAAGCTTTAAACAGTGCTCGGCTGGTTACTGATAGGAATCACAAGACTGCTATATACTGCCGATGAAAAAGGTATTTAGCAGTTTATAATTACTAAAATAATTGCATTTCCATTTTCTGTGTACTGTGGGAGACCAGATATAGTGAATGCAGGATCCGGGAGATCGGAAATAGTGAATGCAGGGTCCGGTGAGACCAGATATAGTGAATGCAGGGTCCGGGGAGACCAGATATAGTGGATGCAGGGTCCGGGGAGAGCGGATATATAGTGGATGCAGGGTCCGGGGAGACCAGATATAGTGAATGCAGGGTCCTGGGAGACCAGATATAGTGAGTGCAGGGTCCTGGGAGACCAGATATAGTGAATGCAGGATCCGGGGAGAGCGGATATAGTGAAGGCAGGGTCCAGGGAGAGCGGATATAGTGAATGCAGAGTCCGGGGAGAGCGGATATAGTGAATGCAGAGTCCGGGGAGAGCGGATATAGTGAACGCAGGATCCAGGGAAATCAGATATAGTGAATGCAGGATCCGGGGAGACCAGATATAGTGAATGCAGGGTCCAGGGAGACCAGGGAATACAGTGGATTCCAGACCGAGGAGACCAGATATAGTGAATACAGGGTCCCGGGGAGACCAGATATAGTGAATGCAGGGTCCAGGGAGACCAGATATAGTGAATGCAGGGTCCAGGGAGACCAGATATAGTGAGTACAGGGTCCGGGGAGACCAGATATAGTGAATACAGGGTCCGGGGAGACCAGATATAGTGAATACAGGGTCCGAGGAGACCAGATATAGTGAATGCAGGGTCCGGGGAGACCAGATATAGTGAATACAAGGTCCGGGGAGACCAGATATAGTGAATGGATCCAGGGAGATCGGAAATAGTGAATGCAGGGTCCAGTGAGACCAGATATAGTGAATGCAGGGTCCGGGGAGACCAGATATAGTGGATGCAGGGTCCGGGGAGAGCGAATATAGTGAATGCAGGGTCCGGGGAGACCAGATATAGTGAATGCAGGGTCCTGGGAGACCAGATATAGTGAATGCAGGGTCCTGGGAGACCAGATATAGTGAATGCAGGGTCCTGGGAGAACAGATATAGTGAATGCAGGATCCGGGGAGAGCGGATATAGTGAAGGCAGGGTCCGGGGAGAGCGATATAGTGAATGCAGGGTCCGGGGAGACCAGATATAGTGAACGCAGGATCCAGGGATATCAGATATAGTGAATGCAGGATCCGGGGAGACCAGATATAGTGAATGCAGGGTCCAGGGAAACCAAATATAGTGAATGCAGGGCCCTGGGAGACCAGATATAGCAAATGCAGGGTCCGGGGTTTAGTAACACTTTAACTCACCAAAGCTGTCAGTAAAGCTTGGATTGGATTGAATGAAATGTTAAATGTCAAAACAAATTTGTACCTTGCTTGTTGACAGGTGAGGGTGGGAGGAAACTGGCCGGCATTGTCCTCAGTCGATCATTTTCTACAGCATACAGGAATGGATCCTTCAGATGATCTGTTATTAAAGAAATGTCATATTTACATTACCTATAAATGTCATCTTTTATTCAATAGTCATCTTTTCTATGTTTTCTGATCAAGGATGACCTTATTGAAGAAATATGGCACATTTGCTAACAGATGGAATAAACTAGTAGTGGATGCATATATAGTCACTGGAATGGAATATATTATCATATTTGCTATACTGTATACTGTATGTCTTTCCACAGAACTATGTTCAATAGAAAATGTGGAGACCTGCAATTAGTTATGGAGTGGGGAAGGGGGGGCAAACACACCTGTATCTACAGAACATTATCCCATAGGCTCTCCGTCTCATTGACAAGCATAGCCATTTATGATACGCCCTTTAAATGGTCCTCAGTATCATTCACAGCTGAATCCAGTAGACATAGCTGCATCTATCTGTAGCACCCTCCTAGTCAGCTAGGGGGCGCTAAACTCCAATTGTCACTGAGGAGGGCTGAGTAGCAGCCTGGGTGCAGGGTTGCCAATCATTCGTAAATTTATAGACAGTCCATAAATTTCAACCTATTTACAGACTGTGCACAAATGTCAGTTACGGACAGCGACCGTCTGTAAAAATATGCTTGCGCAGTACCAAAGCTGACCAGGCTCAGCTGTGCATAGATGAACTCGGAACCTCGGATGGGGAGGGAGGACCAGGCCAGGTATCTATGCACAGTGATTTTGTCGCCTTTTACATTTGACTGAGGGGGGGGGGTGTCTTGTATCAGAGTTCCCCTTTACATCAAACTCTGCAGTCATGGAGAAACATGGTTTTTGACATAAACGCATTGCTAAGAGCACTACAAAATGGTTCGCTCAGCGCTGTACATTACAAAGGGGGACAGAACATGTGACAGAACAATACCAATACAATGCAAAACATGAAGGGATCGAGGGCCCTGCTCCTCGGAGCTTACAATCTAGGAGGGAGGGGATGGTGGCACAGGAGGAGATAGCTGTGGGGGATGGAGTGGTAGAAAGAGTGGAGGAGGTCGGTAATTAGCAGGGGGTGGGGTAGGCTTCCCTGAAGAGATGGGTTTTCAGGGTGCGCCTAAAGGAGAGGAGAGTAGGTGATAATCTGATGGGTTGGGGCAGGGAGTTCCAGAGGAGGGGTGACACCCTGGAGAAGTCCTGGAGGCGGGCATGGGAGGAGGAGACCAGGGAACTAGAGAGAAGGAGGTCTTGTGAGGAGCGGAGTGTGCATGCTGGGCGGTACTTGGATATTAGGTCAGTGATGTAGTACGGGGCAGTATGGTGGACAGCTTTGTACGTCAATGTTAGGATTTTGAATTTGATCCGTTGCGCAATCGGAAGCCAGTGGAGAGATTGGCAGAGGGGGGTGGCGGAGATGGAGCGGTTGGAAAGGTGAATGAGTCTGGCAGCCATATTCAGGATCGACTGAAGCGGGGATAGCCAGCAGCGAGGCAGGTCAGTGAGGAGGGAGTTGCAGTAGTCAAGTCGTGATATGATGAGGGAGTGGATGAGCTGTTTAGTGGTTTCTGGGGTTAGGAACGTGCGGATTTTGGTGATGTTGCGGAGGTGGAGTCTGCACGAGTTTGTTAAAGATTGGACTTGGGGCTGGAAGGATAGGTTGGAGTCCAGAATGACACCAAGTACTCTGGACTGCGGGGCGGGTTTGATGGTGGCGTTGTTGGATGTGATGGAGAAGTCAATGGGGGGTGGTGTCCAGGCTGTTTTTAAATATTTGCAGTTTTGCACTTAAAACTGGCATTTTATGTACTTTTCTTGAGTGTCAGCAAAAAAAATGCGGCTCTGTCAGTAAATGTCATGATTTGCATCAGTACAAATTTGGTGCTGTTTGTAAACTTTGGGTGTCCTGTCAGTAAATTTCACTTCGGGGGGTTAGCAACACTACCTGGGTGTGATAGCTAGCAGGGGTAAAAACAATGGTAAGAGCTGAGAGGCTCTGCAGACCAGCCTCTGGAATTTCCCCCTGCTCTAGAACTTTGAAGAAAGGTCTAGAAGCAGTGTGTGGATCTGAGGAGCAGATGATCTGCACTTTTGAGGGATCCTGGCCAATCCCCAACAGGAGGCTTGGCAAGGGACCAGGACAAATCTTAAAAGTGACAGAGCCTGCTCAGCAGCAGGAGGGTTCGGGTGGAAGACAGTGAGGGTGTAAAGCTTAAGGCAGGAGCCTGGGAGGGGGCCCAGATGGAGAAAGGCTCACCTACAGGCCGTGAAGCTTGGAAGGAAGAAATCTCAGACCTTCACCAGCCCCCAGAGCGAGGACCACCTGTGCAGCAGACAAGGAGCATCCCAGCTAGAAGGCTTGGTAGCAGCCACAAACCCACCAGCCACACAGAAGGACTATAGGAGTAAGCCTGCACCTCCTGGGCCAGATTGCGGAAGAAGCACTCTGGTGGGAAACCAGATAAGCCGGGACTGTCTTATTTCCTAAAGTGACAGGCACTGGATCCCCTGCTTAGGGATTCCTCCAGAAAGCTGGGTGAAGAAGAGGATCTGGGGTCTGGGATGGTACTACAGGAGATGCTGCCTAGCTCTCCAAAAGAGACTGTTTTGCTGTAGAAATGTGTAAATAGTTCCAGGAAGTTGTCCTTGGTTTCTCGGTTCCATAGGGGCATCCCATACACCCCTTATCCTATCCAAGTTGAAATTCCCTTAATAAAATCCAAAAACCCAAGCTCAAGGACTTGTTACTGACTCGTGGATGTTAGTCTGAAAACTGCATGATGCCTGGCTGTGCAGGCCTATAGGGGGACCCAAATACTCAGCAACCCCTAAGGGGGGCAGTGCTACATATGACAGGTTTTCCTAATAGCCCAATGTCCAACTGACAGTATTATTAACAGCTGTATTCGGTAAACACAACTGTGTCCACAGATCCTCTACAACAGCCCTGCTTAACCTTCTGAATTAGTTTTCAGATCTAGGGAAATCTCTGATAAAACCAATTCATCGGAGGTCAGCAGTAAATGTACAACTGATATTGGTGGTCATTTGGAAAAATGCCCCTTATATTGGTGGTCATTGGGAAGAATGTTCCTTACATTGGTGGTCAGTGGGTAGAATGTTCTTTACATTTGTGATCAGTGGGAAGAATGTTCCTTACATTGGTGATCAGTGGGAAGAATGTTCCTTACATTGGTGGTCAGTGGGTAGAATGTTCTTTACATTTGTGATCAGTGGGAAGAATGTTCCTTACATTGGTGCTCAGTGGGAAGAATGTTCCTTACATTGGTGATCAGTGGGTAGAATGTTCTTTACATTTGTGATCAGTGGGAAGAATGTTCTTTACATTGGTGATCAGTGGGAAGAATGTTCTTTACATTGGTGATCAGTGGGAAGAATGTTCATTAGATTGGTTGTCTGTGGGAATGAATGTTCCTTACATTGGTGGTCAGTGGGTAGAATGTTCTTTCATTTGTGATCAGTGGAAGAATGTTCTTTACATTTTGATCAGTGGGAAGAATGTTCTTTACATTGGTGATCAGTGGGTAGAATGTTCCTTACATTGGTGGTCATTGGGAAGAATGTTCATTAGATTGGTTGTCTGTGGGATGAATGTTCCTTACATTGGTGGTCATTGGGAAGAATGTTCATTAGATTGGTTGTCTGTGGGATGAATGTTCCTTACATTGGTTGTCTGTGGGACAAATATTCCTTACATTGGTTGTCTGTGGGAAGAATGTTCATTAGATTGGTTGTCTGTGGGACGGATATTCCTTACATTGGTTGTCTGTGGGACAAATGTTCTTTACATTGGTGGTCAGTGGGAAGAATGCTCCCTAAATTGGTGGTCAGTGGGAAGAATGTTCATTAGATTGGTTGTCTGTGGGACAAATGCTCCTTACATTGGTGGTCGGTGGGAAGAATGTTCCTTACATTGGTGGTCAGTGGGAAGAATGCCCCTTCACATTGGTGGTCTGTGGGAAGAATGTTTCACTTAAAGAGGTGGTCAGAATGCCACCCTTACAGACAGCTAAGGACACCAGTGATGTCATGCTGCTGGCGCTTTACAATAGCAGTGGCGCTTGAATGATGTAGGTACCTTCAGACAAGAGATCAAATAGCTACAGCTCAAGGAACCCCTAGCAACTTCTTAAAGAACCCTACGGTTCTGAAAAAAAAAACCCTGTTTGAGAATGGCTGCTCTACAACAACACTCTAAATATAACCATCTCCGAGAAGGCATTACCAGCCATTGTTGAGAACTCTCTCCTCTCCCTTGTAGCCAGCTCCTTGCAGACAAAAGGGGAGATCACGTGACTGGACCATAGCAGCATGGACATAGGTAGGTATATACAACTTTCTTACACAGGTTAGTAAGAATAGGTATTAGGAGGTGGGGGGGGGGGGGCATTTTTAAGAATATTTAGGATTACCTGGAAACTCTACTTTAAGCAAGCAGGGTGCTAAGCATGTTTGTAAAGCCAATCCTTTGCTTTATAAATGTATATTTTTTAAAGCAGCGGTATAGCTGTGGTAAGGCTTTATACATAGGGCCAGGCGTGGACTGACCATTTGGAAACTCGGGCACTGCCCGAGGGCCCGGGGTCAGTAGGGGGCCCCATGAGATGCCCCTGGTACCTTTTTCATAGACTTTTTTGAGTTTGGGCAAGGACACAGGGGCCCCATAATCCCCTATTGCCCGGAGGCCCCATCAGTTGTCAGTCCGCCCCTTCATTAGGGCCCTAACATTGTGAGCATGTTTACAGGGAGAGAACAGGCGGATGACCAAGGACAGGTCCTGGACTAAGCTGTATTCTTTAACTTCAGTGCAGAGGTCCAAAACCTGGCTTTGCTTTCTGCTAGGCGTGTCTGGATTGTCAATTGACCAAATATAATTACAAATCATATGGTAGGCAAAATGGTTACATGTGTTTGCCTGTTAACAAATGATTATATATGTGTATTTCAGTTATAGATTTACCTGCTTGCATGGGTAGAACTATAGGCAATGTTTTTTTTTCATATTGGATAGAGCAAGGGAGGGTTATAACAACTTACAAAGCTATCCACAACCCAGCCCCCAGCTACATCACTTACCTAGTCTTAAAATACCAACCAAATCATCCTCTTTGTTCCCTCAAAGACCTCCTGCTCTTTAGCTCCCTTGTCACCTCCTCCCATATTCGCTTCCAGGACTTCTCCCAAGCCTCTCCCATCCTATGGAATCCCCTTCCCCAATCTGTCCGACTGTCTCCTACTCTGTCTACATTTAGATGATCCCCGAAACCTCATTTCTTCAGACAGGCCTTTCCTGCCCCCACCTAATATTGGTACTTTATTTTCTCAATCAGCTCATCCCATACCTTTTGTATCAATTGACCCTCCCTTTAGATTGTAAGCTCCTAATGAGCAGGACCCTCTGTTTCCTACTGTATTCAATTGTATTGTAATTGTACTGTCTGCCCTCACGTTGTAAAGCACTGCGCAAACTGTTGGTGCTATATAAATCCTGTATTATAATAATAATAATATAACCCCTTTCAGATTTTGTTTTTCACCATCCGTGTCCCATTGTGGAGATTTCCCTTCAATTCCTGCCCTATAGCCAAACAGGAAGTGAGAGGAAATCCCTCCAAAATTAAGGGAATTCCTTAGGAACCCCCAGGACACCAGAACTAGTGTCCCCATTGGAAGATTACGTTTCTGGGGACAACCCAAAATTTGGGGATTTGCTTTTACTTTCAATGATAACAGTAACGGGGGCACAGACACCAAAAGGAACTGACAGAGGTTCTAATCCCTCTGTACTCTATCCAAAGCTAAAAAAAAAAAAGTTTTGTCTTTAGTTATACTTTAAATTTTATTCTTTATTGGAGCAACTACAAACAATGTGCTTACCAGGCATCTGTGGCAGGACGTTTTCCAGCATGTACTCTTTCAGATTTTTGGGTATTTCCCCTCTGATATCAACAAGGACCCGAGTCTCAGTGGATGATATCTGATAAATCAAAACTGGACTGGGATTGGCCAGGACAAGCTCTGCATGATGAGGCTTAAACTGGGGTGAGTTCTAGGATAGAAAATAAACAGAGAATACATTTATCTGATCAACATAATCCTTCTTCTGACATGAAAGTAACATAAGTGAAGTAAATATGTGATTGTTCCTCCTGCGCTTAACCTCCCTGGTGGTATGATTATTTCAGATTTTTGGTGCTGAAAGCGGTACCATTATTTTGCATGGAAATTTGGCGTTTTTTATTGTAGGCCTGTAATTTTTAGGAATAACTCACTGAAATCTGTCCGAACAAGAGTCTAGTAAACATCCCGGGTATGTTAAAATTTGAAACGCGAAATCATAAATTATAATTTAACAATCATAAAAAATAATAATATAATAATAATAAATGTAATTCAATAATATAATCAAACCAAAAACACTGAAATTTGAAATATAGCGCCAAGTTTGCACATCACTGAGCAAAGTCAAAGAATCGTTTTAAGTGTCTGATAACGAATTTCCCCCACGAATCATTATCATTCAATTCTGCAAGTGGTTCTAATTTACTATCGCTGTTCTCTAGCTGATCTAAACCCGCTTTTGACCTAAAGGGACGCTTTTTGGACGCCATGGATGTTTCTCAGTTTCCAGGCAGAAAGAACAGTAAAAATGCAGGCAGGGCTCCGGACAAAGCACTCGGGACAAAATGTATGTGAAATGGTTTGATACAGTAATGTTTTACTATGTGATTTTAGTAATTTTAGTGAATGTCACTTTTTTTCATTTTCAAATTTCCCCGGTGCTCCGTCCCCCGTACGTCCCAATGTCGCAGGGGACAGAACCCAGATGCCGGCATCCGCCGGATTACATTGCCGGGGGCTCTGCAGGGGGGACATCGGGGGAGCGCAGGACAAGGTAAGTGATCGAGGGATCGCGGAGCAGCGCCGCATGGTAAGCCCGAGTGTAGCTTGGGGTTACCGCTTGTGGTGCTGAAACTTTACCCCGAGCTACACTCGGGAATACCGCCAGGGAGGTTAATGGGTGTACCTATACCAATGACAAAGCTGCTAGCCTTCAAAACCCTTTACCCAAAGGTATAAATGAACGACATAAACTCGTTCTTCATGAATAGCGAAGCACCTTAGATGTGGGGGATTTTTTTTGCACTTTATTGGACTTGATTGGACAGTGGTTTTTATGATTGATTTTTATGATTATTTTTTCACTGTATATATATATGTTTCATATTTTCTCATATTTTTTTCTATGGATTTGTTGTTATTTTAGGAGTTGTGGATGAGCACTTGTCTCTTTGGTATTTGACATACGAATATCCCGTCACTGGGATGCAATTTGTTTACACATTTGGTGTGTGAATATTATCCCATTTTTGGGATTGGGAAGTTGGTTGTTTTTTTCACTTTGTATAAGGGTCCATTTTTGTGACCTATTTTTTTATTTCACCATTTGCACTATATGGCACTTTGTGATAAATCCCTGTACCTGTAGTATCTCTTATATTTTCACATTATTGTGTGTATATATATTTATTTATTGTTTAGAGTCATTTATATTTATATTTAATTTTCTAGCGCTGCACCATATTATAGTTTATAAGTGAAGTAAAGCTTTGCTCGTTGAAGAATGTTTTTATAACTCCTAGACCACGGGTGTCAAACTGGTGGCCTTCCAGCTGTTGCCAAACTACAAGTCCCATGAGGCATTGCAAGATTGACAGTTACAAGCATGACTCCCAAAGGTAGGGGCATGATGGGACTTGTAGTTTCCCAACAGCTGGAGTGCTGCCAGTTTGACTCCCCTGTCCTAGAGGCTAATTTATAGCAACAGGCAAGAAAAATAGCTCTCAGATTGGTGCTGAAAAATGTATACATACAAAGCACAAACCTTTAAAATGCATCCTACAAAGTGCGAGGAAACTTTGACCTGGCCAGAAATAAGATCTTTTCTGAATTTGGAGAAAAGTCCATCAGCAACAACGGTAAGTGGAGCATGGAGTTCCTGCAATAGGAGTATTAAAAATCAACAATCTGCTATAATTAAAAATGTCATATATAAGAACATCCCTCACTTGTGTACGTTGCTACAGAATTATTCCACCCTAAACTCACATTAGCAGACATTGACCAGTTTGAAGGATAATAAAGTACAGCCTTGTGCACAGTGACACCTCGAATTGACTTCTGGCTGCTTTAATCTCAACAATGAGATCTGGGTGTCTAAAGTATCCAACTACTTGCAGATGTCACAGACATTACAATAGAGTTTAATTTTCTCTTTACCACTTTTGTAATGCAGGAAACAATAAAAAAACAGCAAGACTCTGTGACACGGTAAGAGGGACTTCAACAGGGGCAAAAATTGTCTGCTGATGTCCGCAAGAGATATAAAAGTCAGCGGGTGATTCAGACAACAGGATCCTTTCCTAACTTAAATAATTAGTTATGGGTGGACTGGCCCTTATTTTACATTACAATGTTACATTTAAACAACTTTTTAATTTGTTGACTATTACATATAAATTGGTTAATAGTGATGTGCTTTAAGGCTAGGCTCACATATGTGCGGGTGGTGCCGCTGCGGATCTGCATAAAAATCCGTGCACCACCCGCACAGAGGAATGCAGACCCGCAGACGGGTGACAATTTTAATGGCAGGCCGCCCGCACTGGAAATCGCAACCGCACTGGGAACAGAGGCTCCCGTGCAGGCTGCGATTTCCAAAGGAGTGCAGAGACTTCTTCCCTGCTTGTCCTGGGGCACGGGAGTCCACACGCACAGATGTGAACCAGGGCTAAAGGCATAGTCTATCTTTTGAAATAAAGTAATAGTGCACCTATTTGTAATTCCTACAGTGTTCACCTGATTTGGATGTAAATACCCTCAAATTAAAGCTGTCAGTCTGCAGTTAAAGCACAGCTTGTTCGTTTCATTTCAAATCCATTGTGGTGTATAGAGCCAAAAATGTTAGAATTGTGTTGATGTCCCAATATTTATGGACCTGACTGTATATTAAAGGATAAGTTCACCTATTCTGACAGGTCTGCAGGAGACCTGCATGGCATCAGCGATCTACTGATCACTTGTGCAATGCTTTCCAGGCTCCTCCAGACAAAAATTATAAATGCACATTTTTTTTACCTGCAAAAAAATTGCACATATATTATTTTTGTCAAAAAGGTGAACTTATCCTTTAATATGAGAAAAAAAAATATTTTTTTTTTTTTTTGCATTAGAGCCTGCAGAGCATTGCAGCCATGATCAGTGCATCACAGGTGTAATGCACTGGCTCCTGCAGATTTTTCCTCAAGCCCCAAGAAACAGACCTTCAGTTATAGGGCTGGAGGAAGATAAAGTGGAACTTCACTCTCTCAATCAAAAATGACTATTTTGAATCCTTATGCTGTTAGCATTAGTAAATAGATAGGAAAGTATATCATATTTACTGGTTTTAAACTGTTTTTTACATTTTTTTTTTATTTACTTCCTAGTTTCCATGCCTAGGCAAATGATGTCATACTTCCCAGGAGTCTTCAGGAGGGGAGGGTTTTCTCAGTTAAGCACATCCTTCTGCCTGCATGCTTGAGCTAAGAGCAGATGAATTCGAGGAAGCAACTGCTACATGAATCATCTGCCCTTACTCAAGATGACCATGGCCAGAAAGGCTAGGGGGTATTTTTGTAAGTGGTTTCTCAGCAAAATAAAGCATGGAGACATGAATGGATAGGTGAGTTTGCTTTGAATATGAAAAGCGAATTAAATAGAAGTTTTGTCTTGTGGTACAATTGTTGTGACATTGCTGCACTTGTGCTCCATTGAGATCTATGAGCCCAAGGCTGCTTTTGCTGATGTGACTTGTAGTCTTCCATTCACATATCCTGTGAATGGATTTGGGAATTAATGATGTGGCTGTGCTGGTGGAGCCACATACACAGCTGCGCTGAATTCAACAGTAAACAATAGAACCAGGTAAGTTGGAGAGGAGGATTGTGAGGTTGGGGAATGAAACCACATTTCATGTTACACCCTAAATATGGCTGTAACATGGTATGAAAAGTGGACTATACTTTTATGGTGCCTTCAGCTTGCATTTAAGATCAGTTCGAGTTCGAGAAACTTCTGAGTTCCTTCACATTTGCATCTGACCTGTAGTTTACTTCCTTCTGACATGCTTTAGACCTCCTTCTAAGCTGCTTTTGCATTCCCATTGACTTGTATAGGGAGGAAAGCAGTTTGGACACAAGCTAAAGCCCATGAACACGTCCTTAGGTTGTCTAGAGATGGTCTGATAAAAGGAAGTGATATGCTCATTTAGAACTGCAGTGACAGCAGTTAGCAGATTTCTTAGCTAGCACTTTCGATCCCTAGATATTATCATCACACAGATTTTCCCAACCCAAGAGAAGATTTATTTACAACCAAAGTAGAACATCATGGAGGGGCACAAGGGCATTAGATTTGTCTTAGGATAGGAAAGCTTCTCTTTTTCATATCATACCTTCACATCCCCTGTTTCTTTGTCCCTGTACTGGACTCCAAAGATGGCGTCATCTTCTTCAATTAATTGCAGAACTGTCCCCTCAATATACCGAACGCTAAAAAAGAAATCAGAAGACTAACAGAATGGAATGGAATCCTCTGGCCCCATTTTCCTCCTGGGCTAAGAGTTAAAAAGCTAACTAGAGTTAGAAAGCTTAACAGATATTTGTGTCTTTCTGCCCTCACACGTGTCTACCAGGGGCGGACTGACCATTTGAGCACTCGGGCACTGCCCGAGGGCCCAGGGTCCGTAGGGGGCCCCATGAGATGCCCCTGGTACCTTTTTCATAGGCTTTTTTGGGTGTGGGCAAGGACACAGGGGCCCCATGATCCCCTATTGCCCGGGAGCCCCATGACTTGTCAGTCCGCCCCTGGTGTCTACAATCATACAGATCAGTTCAGAGGGAGTTGCTATTTTGTAAGCTCCACCAGTCACTGCAAGAGAGGTCTACACTTACTTTGGCTCAGCCATGGCCATCTTGCGAAGCCCCATGATGAAGCGACCATGGTGAAAGGCTCTCCCACATTGTAGCTGGTCCTTCTCATTCTTTGGATAAGGAATCTCCACTGCTGCCTTACTTTCAATGTCATGGACAACATATCCATGTACGACATGAGCATCCAAACCTTCTGCTGCATCTGCAAATATATCACACTGTAATGAGCCACACTGTCATCATATTTTATCAGAAAATGACAGTATTTGAAGATGCTACAGTGCTTGTGTTGATAATATGCAAAGGATCTCTATTTCTATTACACCATTAGCAGAGTAACTCTGATTATTGGCAATAGATAGGAAATAAGAGCTGTTACAACGTTAGGTTAGGCAGAACATGGATCTAACCACACGTTTGTACCAACATATTATACCAAAGAATGAAAGGAATACATATTAACATGGTAAAATAGGTTTCAATAATATTGCTTATTATGCCCACCGAGCATGTAAACTCCCCTTTGGCCATCTTGTGACCTTACCCTCATTTCATTCCTCCAAAGTAAGACAATGTGTTAATTTAGGAGGACCCCACCTTTGTTTCCCTTTCAGTGTTCAGTTAAAGTGTTACAAAACCCAGGACCCCACATTCACAATATCCGGTCTCCCACAGTACCCACAACATCGAGATGCTATTATATTAGTAAATGTAAACTGCTAACACCTTTTCTCATCAGCAGTGGATTCTATCAGTGTTCAGCAGAGCACTGGTTAAAGCATGTAGAAGGAGTTTTCATTCTCCCCTATTAGACTGCAGGACCCCTGATCCTCGGTCTGGACAATGCTGATTGGCCCTGTGCTGATCACATGCATTCGCCCACAGAAAAAAACCTCTCTAGCAATACACAGCAAACTGAGCATGTGCAGCTTGCCCCCAAGGCTCTGTTATATCAGCAGATGGATTGGAGACAGTAAAAGAAGGAGAGGATCAGAGAAGACAAGGTCAAACCCCTTAGAGGATTAACCCCTTAGGTTCAACAGTGAGTATAACAAGCATGCTTTACTGCATATACAGACTGATTTTACTGTTGTGGGTTTAGTAACACTACAGGTGGCCATATATGTTTCACTCCTGTCCGCTGCATCACCTTTGCATAATGATGGTGGCCACGTTCTCTAGCTGATACAAGGGTAATAATTTGAGATCCATTGTGACCAATACAAAAATATTGAATTCCCCAAATTTTCAGTGGCCACCCTGATTTGATGAGATCCTGTGATCAGGAGATAAACTGATTGGCTCCTGGTTTTACCACACTAATGAAACCATAAAAAATTGACCATACACAAGTAGAATTTTTTTGAAAATGTTTGTTTTCTAAACACTCATTCAAGTTTCTAATAGTTTGTTAGGTTAAACTGACCATCATTTTTGACCATAGTGGCTAGAAAAAGCAGGAAGGAACATGTTTCTTGAGCGAACACAATTCTAACTGTGGATATGGTTTTAGTTTAAGAAATACTGCACAATGCACACAATAAAACTGTTTACTACAGTATGTCTGGGATTCCATTCAAGAAGAAGGTCTGGACAAAATTTTAAGTCTTTCAAACAAAATGAGTTGATGCTCTGATGGTCTCATCAAATGCCATGATGAACAATTTTCACAATTTTTCCGTGGGAACATTCATACAAAATTTTACTCGTGTATGGCCAACTTTAGGCACTCACTTTCTACTACTCTGATCTCCTGCTGTGATTAGTGCCCAACCCCTTTGAAATCATCTGTTTCATCTGGTATGCCTTAAAGTGTTATTAAAGGCATTTTTATTTAATAACATGTATATTTACCTGCATTGTGCAGTGGTTTTAAACAGAGCAGCCCCAATCCACCTCTTCTCGGGTCCCCTGCCAGCGCTCCTGTCCCCACCTTCCTACAGAGTGCCCCCAGAGCAAGCACCCTGCTATGGGGGAACCCAAGCAAGATTGCTCCTGAGCCGCTGCTCTGTGTGTCCATTCACACACAGAGGTGCAGCTTGGCCCCGCCCCCTCCCTCTCCTCATTAGCTCACTGGCTGTGATTGACAGGCATTGGTTCCCACTGCTGTCTCAGCCAATGATGAGGAAGAGTCTCCCTCTGCTCTCGTGCACATCCCTGGATTGCGATGGGGCTCAGGTATTAGGGGGTGCTGCACACAGAAGGTTTTTTTTTTAGTTTCATGCATAGTCAGGAGCATTCAACTTGCAATTGAAATCAGTTTAGGATCCAGTTTAGTGAAGTTCCATCCGAATTCCTTTACAGGTGCTTCTGACATTCTTCTGACCTGCATTTGACATTTCTATGCTAATTCAAGCTGTTTTTGCATTCCCACTGACAGTAAGAAAAGCAGATCTAGCACATTAAAAATGTCCATATACAGTACGTGTCCATATAGCATTCATAGTGTCTTTTTCGGTAAATGTGGTCCGCCTTTCCAACCCCCGTGTCATCTTCTGATCTGATGTACGACTTGACAAAACTCCTCAATTTGACCTCCTTAGCACCATATTGGCCAGTTTGTTTTTTTGTCTCTGGCCTGTTTCCAACTCTCATTCTGGCCCAGCTGTTACCAGTCTGGAAATGATTACAGCAATCCGAAATAAGGATCCATTAGGCTCATGGGGACCCAAGAAACTAGAAAGCACATCAAGGTTTCTAGGAATAGAGGCTGTACTAGACAGAGTGCTACAGTATCAGGTCACTTGGAAGAATGCCCTCCTTACAGTGAGGGTCAGAATGCCATCCTTACAGACAGCCAAAAAGGTGGCTGGTGTCATGCCCATGACTCTACCAAGTGGCATTAGATCCAGAAATAACCAGGCCCTATAATATGGGAGGTCAGTCAGCCACTCCTCATACAACCCCCAGCAACCTCTGGAGGAACCCTGGTTAAATGGCTGGTTTGAAGAGATCAGAATAATGAGAAATTACCTTTGAATTGATGCCAACAGTCTACTGTTTGACTGGGGGTGAATTTTTGTTTTTGGTCCAAATATGTTAAGACCAATCATCAGACACCTCTCAGCTTTCATGTATCTTCACTTACCACCAAGGCCAAGGTCTTTCAGGGCCTGATAACCTCCTGGCTGCAGTAGCTCCCCCACTATACGATCGGGTTCCTTCAAGTCTCTCTCTATGACGACCACTCTTCTGCCATCTCTAGACAACACTGTGGCCAGTGCTGAGCCAAGCACTCCAGATCCCACAATGATGACTTCCGGCTCATCGCTTGTCATGGTCCCAGATACAGTGGCTCCATTTGAGACTACAGACCCATGAATGTTATTGTCCGTTTTGCTCTGCAAAATAAAACCACATAATACAATCATACAGATATTATTTTCTAAAGGACACGCACTTCTCTTTCTGTACTTACAGACATCTCCAGTCATTAGCAATGACCCTTATTTATCAAACTGTGCTTGTTGAGCTTGGCAGCCAATCAGAATTTTGTTTTCATGCCTTCTTACCAGCTACCCTGTGTGCTAGTTTCTGGTTGTTCTTGATTTACCTGTCGACTCAGACTGCCCAACCCTACTTGTGTCTCCTGCCCCTATTGGAGATGCTGCCTGTTCCTGATACTCTCTTGCCTTCCTTGACCTCAGCCTGGATATGGAACACTATCTTGCCTCTTGTATGCCTCAGTCTCACACTAACTGTTCTTCTGCTTGCTGCCTGCTTTGACCTTTGCCTGAACATTGACTATGCCAACTTTAACCTCTGCTTGAACCCCAACCTTCTGCTAATTTGTACAGTCATTGTAGTCACTCTGTTCCCTTCCTGGGATGATCCTGAGGGCTGCATCTTGGTGACAGCTCCCAGCAAAGTGCCCTGGGGGCCACTATAGCCACCTGCCCATCATTCCTTGCAGGGTGCTCTGGCAAAGACCAAGTTATCACTTAGATTCCAAGCCTTGGGTGAGCCTGCGTTACCTGTCAAGGGGGTCAGTTGTAACATTGGGACCTCCATCAGACACAATACATGGACATCAATACCTGCATAAATCATAGCAATGTATATAACTGTGATCCCTAATCAATATCCTCAGATACTCAGAATGCTATCTTATTAATTATGTCAATGTCTGTCTTCAAATGACCAAGAGATCTGGATAAAATGGGCTACAGTGTGTAGCTGTAATGGAGCCTTGGATCTACTATAAAGTATTTACAATTATAAAATAGATAGATAGATAGATAGATAGATAGATAGATAGATAGATAGATAGAGTAGAGCAGGGTGATCTATATTGCAGTATTATAGATAGATAGATAGATAGATAGATAGATAGATAGATAGATAGATAGATAGATACAGAGAGTAGAGCAGGGTGATCTATATTGCAGTATTATAGATAGAGTTATAGATAGATAGAGTTATAGATAGATAGATAGATAGATAGATAGATAGATAGATAGAGACAGATAGATAGATAGATAGATAGATACAGAGAGTAGAGCAGGGTGATCTATATTGCAGTATTATAGATAGAGTTATAGATAGATAGATAGATAGATAGATAGATAGATAGATAGATAGATCTCTAGAGAGCAGGGTGATCTATATTGCAGTCAGGGGCGGACTGACCATTTGGAAACTCGGGCGCTGCCCGAGGGCCCGGGGTCAGTAGGGGGCCCCATGAGATGCCCCTGGTACCTTTTTCATAGGCTTTTTTGAGTTTGGGCAAGGACACAGGGGCCCCATGATCCCCTATTGCCAGGGGGCCCCATAAGTTGTCAGTCCGCCCCTGATTGCAGTATTATAGCTGAAGAATTGACAGGAACCCCATCATAAGAGAAACACAGTGGGCAGCCATTGCTGATCTCATGACGCTATCTGATCTCTGGCTTCAATACTTTCACATTACAAACAGCAAACACGTATGCAGCCAGGTGGGTCATAATTCCTGGTTTAGGAACAGTGACTCAGGCAGCACTGACATCACTGGATCAGCATGACAGGCAACTACCGTAGTCTATAATAAGTGACATTAATAGCCGCCATACTTTAGTCATGATAGGTTTTATTTCACACCATAACATGGCAGCCTGCAAAGCAAATAAAAAGCATCCCAGGGATGTGCACACTTGTCAAATGTCAGTATGGGTGAGGGGAGATCCGAAGGAAATGTAATAGGATGTAATCTAGGAGAGGAACTATAAAATTATTTAGAGAAAATGTATCTCTTTATGTAAAGAGAACATATAACAAATTTCACAGAATATAGCGATAATAATAAAAGAAGAAGAGAGAAAAAGAAAAAAGGAGAATATTAACAAAAAAGTAGTAAGGATTGCTTATACTGAGCGAGTTATGTTATCACTCCTATTGAATATTCTGTATTTCAGGATCTAGGATGTCCTCATCCATGCTCAGTTTATACTAGTGTAATGTGATTTTGGCATTATTTTCAGTGTGATTCTGTACTGCAACTTTGATGCAACTTGGTTGCATTTTTGCATATTCTATGGGAACAGATTGCACTGTAAGTTGTGCCAAAGTAGCACAGGAACCTTTTTCCAAAATCACACCATACTGAGTCACGATGATGTGAATGGGAACCATTGGTAATGATGTGATTTCCCTTGTCATGCGATTCTGAGTAACACAAGTTGCATCAGAAATCACATTAGTGTGAACGGAGCCTTACAGCGTGAAAAGTGTGATGTGACCTGTAGTAAGAGTGTTCTGTGGTGTAATGTATGACTGGCATGTTACAATTCACCTGGACCTTACTAGCACCTTATGGTAGAAGCTGAAACCTGTGTCATGTACAGAACAGCATACAGTCTGGTGTTTGTAATAAGAACTGTCTGTGATGTCCACCTGCTACTAACAGAATTCAATGCTTGAGCTTGAATATGATTTGGTTGCTCTGCTGCAACACAGAAAGTTTTTATTTCAGACTTGGCAGATCAGCTTCAATGTACTGCCTTACAGTAGTGAGTTAAATTACGATAGATAGATACATATATAGATACATAGATATATACATAGATAGATAGATTGAGGGATAGATCAATCGATCGATCATGGATAGATAGATAGATAGATAGATAGATAGATAGATAGATAGATAGATAGAATTATGTATTGACAGACAGATAGAATTATGTATTGATAGATAGATAGGATAGATAGATAGATAGATAGATAGATAGATAGATAGATAGATAGATAGAACAGATAGATAGAACAGATAGATAGAACAGATAGATAGAACAGACAGACAGACAGAATTATTTATTGATAGATAGATAGATAGATAGATAGATAGATAGATAGAATTATTTATTGATAAATAGATAGATATATAATAGATAGATAGATAGATAGATAGATAGATAGATAGATAGATAGATAGAGCGATTTATAGATAGATAGACAGCTACAAATAGAAAGATAGATTTTTTTATCGATGGATAAATACAGACAGATATCCATATATAAACCCATCTAGATAAATACAGATATTTTGCAATACACAGACAGACCCCTAGACAGATCAATAGAGAATGATGGTGGGACAGTGAACAAGAAAAGTCTGTATGGAAGAGAAGCCATGCCCCCCCCCCTTACCTTCTTGCCCCCCTGTATTCCGGGTTCCCCCCGCTGATTTTGAGGGCCGTTCAGGTTGAAGAGTCTGGAGATAATCCCGGGGCCCCCTGTTTCTGGCCCCCCAGCGGCCCCGGTAGCGGAACAAAGACAGCAGCAGGCCGGCGGTGCAGCACAGCACCACGGCCACCATGACCTCCAGCCGGGGGGAGCTGAGCAGCTCATCGCACTTCTTGTAGACGTAGGTGAAGGTGGCCACCCCCAGGAAGGTCCACATGGTCTCCAACACACGGATCCAAGCCCCCCGGACACTCCCCTGCGCTTCCAATAATGTGATATTAGACGTAGGAAAGTCACACACAACTAAGGGAAATGAATGTCACAAAAATGTAAAAAAAAAGTTCTATACTATAAATAAAAAGGTAAATGGCAGAAAAATGTACACATTTCAGGAAATCAATAAATAAATGGATGAGTGCTTGCTGATAGAGGCGGCCGGGTGCCAGGCATGGAGCATTGCAGGCAGCTGCTGGCAGTCCAGGTGAGTTGCTGTGAGCTCACACCTGCCAGGCAAGCCTCTAGTTTCATGCGGAGGGGAGTGTGCACAGCCTATCATGCTGGATCACCAGCTGCACTGGCCCCTCCCCTTCACACACACCTCTCACTGATGGAGGGATGTCAGAGCAGCCGGCCGGCTTCGCCAATCCCCATCCACTCTGCAAAGGATGCAGCACGCAGCCTCAGCAACCAGAGGCGGAGGTTGCCGAGCAACCAGACCTTGCCATCACACCCCAGGGCGTGACTCTATATATTGAGGCGTGTCTTCGCGGCGCACGGGATCCTAGCTTCACGCCCAGCGCTCGTTCGCCCAATCGGAAAACGTCGCTAAGGTGAGCAGAGCTCACGCTATGCCGAATGCAGCCAATGGGAGGGGTCGAGCGGTTCGCTGCAGACAAGTCCGTCAGCGCTTGTAGCTGTAGTGCGATGTGACGTCACGGGTTGAGTGTGGCGGGATGGCACGGAGTCTGAGGGGGCCTTGATGGGAGGGAGAGTCGTGCCGAGAAGTCGTGCTTCCGGTGTGAAGCGAGGTACACGCCATAGTGATAGATAAAAACATTTCCCGGCATCCCTCAAACATCACATTATAAACCAAACCTGGTTCCTACAAGTCAATGAACGTCAAGAGTTACTGTTCACCATGTCAGGCAACTGACAACTCATGGGGCCCCCGGGCAATAGGGGATCATGGGGCCCCTGTGTCCTTGCCCAAACTCAAAAAAGCATATGAAAAAGGTACCAGGGGCATCTCATGGGGCCCCCTACTGACCCCAGGCCCTTGGGCAGTGCCCCAGTTTCCAAATGGTCAGTCTGCCCCTGCACCATGTACAACTTTATTGACACAAAACAATAAAATCAAACAAAACATTGATATTCCCTGATTTGGGCCCCATTTACAGCTCCGCGGTGTGATTTCACGAATTGTTACACGCGTAAGGCAGCCCATTCATTTCAATGGGCTGCCCTACGCACAGAAAGCACGCCAAAGAAGCACCTGCACCCTACTTTGAAGTAGACCATCTCGTGTTTTTTTTGTAGCGGCATCAGGGGGGCTGGACTGACAACTCATGGGGCCCCCAGGCAATAGGGGAACATGGGGCCCCTGTGTCCGCCCACATTCAAACCACACCCAAAAAAGCCTATGAAAAGGTACCAGTGACGTCTCATGGGGCCCCCTACTGACCCCGGGCCCTCGGGCAGTGCCCAAGTTCCCCAATGGTCAGTCCGCCCCTGAGCGGCATCAACAATGAGCCCGGGATCCACACTGATGAAGTCCAGAATTTGCAGCGTTTTCTGTGCAAATTCCGCACCACATCAGAATCGCACCCCTTTCATGCGAACCACTGCGGGTGTGTATGTTGAGTTAAAAACACCCCAAAATTGGTCCGCAAAACTCGTTGCGATGTGCAGAATCGGATCTCATAGGTGTGAATACCCATGCCATCCGATTCTAGTGTGGACCAAAAAAAGGGTCCTGCACCTTTTTGGTGCGGGGGCAGTGCGATTAGAGCCATACAAAATGTATAGCTGCAATCGCACCGCACACAAATCGCATGTGATTTGCTCAGGAATGTGGCGCGGTTCCTGTGTGAATCACATGCGATATACCACACCGCATATATGTGAGCCCAGGCTGAATGGCAGCGCAAGTGTGACACGTGTTTGTTGTGTGTTCACGGAACATGTCGATGTGAATGGAGGAGTCATTCCTTATGTAGCACTCTCCTAGTCAGCTAGGGGGAGCTAGACTCCAATTGTTAGCAAGGAGAGCTGAGTAGCAGCCTGGGTGTGATAGCTAGCAGGGTCAGACGATGGTCAGAGCTGAGAGGCTCTGCAGACCAACCCTCTGGAATTTCCCCTGCTCTAGAACTTTGGAGAAAGGTCTAGAACACAGGTGTTCAAACACAAGGCCCCCACGCCGAATCCAGCCCTCTGGGCCATTTCATGTGGCCTTTGCACCTCTCCTGCAGGTACCCCCTTGTCTCCGCCCCACCTTGTCTCAGCAGTCACAGCAGAGAGGAGAATAGAACTCCTCTGCCAAATCCTGCACCTTCTCAGTGCAGCTGCAGCACCACCTCATCTCTGCCTCCCCTGGTCTCAGCATTCAGCGGACTCTGGTAACTGACTCCACTCCTTCTCTGGTCCTCCTCCAGACCCTGCACTTTCTGCTTTCCAGCTCTGCCCCCAAAGAGGATGCACGGTGATGTTAGGGAAGGTGTGAGATTCTTGACATCTGATGTAATGGGGGTGGGGTGCTCTGGGCATCTAGTCTTACAGATACAACCGGCCCTTTGAGAGCAACAATAATGCTGATATGGCCTATGATCAAATGGAATTGGACACCCCTGGTCTAGAAGCAGTGGGTAGATCTGAGGATTGGCTGATCTGCACTTTTGAGGGATCCTGGCCAATCCCTAAAAGGAGGCTTGGCGAGGGGCCAGGACAACCCTTAAAAGTGAGAGAGCCTGCTCAGCAGCAGGAGAGTTAGGGTGGAAGATAGAGAGGACGTAAGACTGGGAAGAGGAGCCTGGGAGGGGGCCCATATGGAGAGGGGATCACCTACAGTGCCTTGAAAAAGTATTCATATCCCTTGAAATTTCCCACATTTTGTCATGTTACAACCAAAAACATTAATGTATATTACTGGGATTTTATGTGATAGACCAACACAAAGTGGCACATAATTGTGAAGTGGAAGGAAAATGATAAATGGTTTTCAACATTTTTTACAAATAAATATCTGAAAAGTGCAGAGTACATTTGTATTCAGCCCCCTTTACTTTGATACCCCTAACTAAAATCTAGTGGAAGCAATTGCCTTCAGAAGTCACCTAATTAGTAAATAGAGTCCACCTGTGTGTAATGTAATCTCAGTACAAATACAGCAGTTCTGTGAAGACCTCAGAGGTTTGTTAGAGAACATTAGTGAACAAACAGTATCATGAAGGCCAAGAAACACAAGACAGGTCAGGGATAAAGTTGTGGATACGTTTAAAGCAGGGTTAAATTATAAAAAAACATCCTAAGCTTTGAACATCTCACAGAGCACTGTTCAATCCATCATCTGAAAATGGAAAGAGTATGGCACTACTGCAAACCTACCAAGACATGGCCGTCCACCTAAACTGACAGTCCGGGCAAGGAGAGCATTAATCAGAGAAGCAGCCAATAGGCCCATGGTAACTCTGGAGGAGCTGCAGAGATCCACAGCTCCAGTGGGAGAATCTTTCCTCAGGACAACTATTAGTCGTGCACTCCACAAATCTGGCCTTTATGGAAGAGCGGCAAGAAGAAAGCTATTGTTGAAAGAAAGCCATAAGAAGTCCCGTTTGCAGTTTGTGAGAAGCCATGTGGGGGACACAGCAAACATGTGGAAGAAAGGGCTCTGGTCAGATGAGACCAAAATTGAACTTTTTAGCCTAAAAGAAAAAAGCTGTGTGTGGCGGAAAACTAACATTGCACATCACCCTGAACACACCATCCCACTGTGAAACATGGTAGTGGCAGCATCATGTTGTGGGGATGCTTTTCTTCAGCAGGGACACGGGAAGCTGGCCAGGGTTGATGGGAAGATGGATGGAGCCAAATACAGGGCAATCTTAGAAGAAAACCTGTTAGAGTCTGGAAGAGACTTGAGACTAAATGAAAATGTCCAAATTGGGCCCAAAGTGTCAATATTTTGTGTGGCCACCATTATTTTCCATCACTGCCTTAACCCTCTTAGGCATGGAGTTCACCAGAGCTTCACAGGTTGCCACTGGAGTCCTCTTCCACTCCCCCATGACAACATCACAGAGCTGGTGGATGTTAGAGACCTTTGCGCTCCTCCACCTTCCATTTGAGGATGCCCCACAGATGCTCAATAGAAATTAGGTCTGGAGACATGCTTGGCCAGTCCATCATCTTTACCCTCAGCTTCTTTAGCAAAGCAATGATCATCTTGGAGGTGTGTTTGGGGTCGTTATCATGTTGGAATAGTGCCCTGCAGCCCAGTCTCCGTAGGGAGGGGATCATGCTCTGCTTCAGTATATCACAGTACATGTTGGCATTCATGGTTCCCTCAATGAACTGTAGCTCCCCAGGACCGGCAGCACTCATGCAGCCAAAGACTATGACACTCCCACCACCATGCTTGACTGTAGGCAAGACACACTTGTCTTTGTACTCCTCACCTGGTTGCCGCCACAAACGCTTGACACCATCTGAACCAAATAAGTTTATCTTGGTGTCATCAGACCACAATGACATGGTTCCAGTAATCCGTGTCCTCAGTCTGCTTGTCTTCAGCAAACTGTTTGCAGGCTTTCTTGTGCATCATCTTTAGAAGTGGCTTCCTTCTGGGATGACAGCCATGCAGACCAATTTGATGCAGTGTGTGGCATATGGTCTGAGCACTGACATGCTGACCCCCCACCCCTTCAACCTCTGCAGCAATGCTAGCAGCACTCATACGTCTATTTCCCAAAGACAACCTCTGGATATAAGGTGAGCATGTGCACTCTACTTCTTTGGTCAACCATGGCAGGGCCTCTCCTGAGTGGAACCTGTCCTGTTAAAGCACTGTATGGTCTTGGCCTCCATGCTGCAGCTCAGTTTCAGAGTCTTGGCTTCTTATAGCCTAGGCCATCTTTATGTAGAGCAATAATTCTTTTTTTCAGATCCTCAGAGAGTTCTTTGCCATGAGGTGCCATGTTGAACTTCCAGTGACCAGTATGAGAG